CCCCCCCCCCCCCATCAGCGTCCCCCCATCGTGTTTAGGATGAGCCCCAAGTTACAGACCCAAAGGTCTGAGTCAGCAAAGTGCTAAGTCCCATTTCTACAAACACCTGTTTTTAGTCTTTTTAGGTCATTTTAGGTTTGGTTTTAGTATATTTAACTCCACTTTTGGTTTGTTTTTAGTCTTTTTAGCACCATTTAGGTCATTTTAGGTTTGGTTTTAGTATATTTAACTTCACTTTTGGTTTGTTTTTAGTCTTTTTAGCTCCATTTTGGTTTGTTTTTAGTTGTCTTAGCTCAATTTTGGTTGTTTTAGGTTTGTTTTAGGTCTTTTTTTATCTCAATTTCTGTCATTTTAGGTTTGTTTTTAGTCTTTTTAGCAACATTTTTGTCATTTTTAGATTTGGTATTAGTCATTTTAGCTCCACTTTTGGTGTTTTATAGTCGTTTTAGCCCCACTTTTGGTTTGTTTTTCATCTTTTTAGCTCCACATTTGGTTGTTTTAGCACCGTTTTGGTCTTTTTAGATTTGGTTTTAGTCTTTTTAGCTCCACTTTTGGTTTATTTTTAGTTGTTTTGGCTCCATTTTGGTCATTTTTGGTTTGTTTTTAGTTCTGGCTCAACTTTTGCTAATTTTATATTCGTTTTTAGTATTTATAGCGCCGCTTTGGTCGTGTTTAGCTCAGTTTTTTGCCGTTTTAGCCGTTTTTGTCCCATATATGTGTCTCTGACTCTGAATATTCCCGATTTATAAACTTCTGACGGCTTCTCTTGTGCTTCTGGGTGTTTTCCATCTCACCTTTCCTCTGGAGTTTATCTCCTCGGGCAAAGAGCCCGGCGGCCTGATCCTGGGGGGTGTAACTAAGGCAGAGACGCGTCCGGAGGGAGCCGGTTGGTTAGCTGGTTGCCATGGCTACAGATGGCCACAGAGGGACGGCGTCTGTTTGAAGGAGCCCTCACGATGTGGAGCAAACATTAAAGTGTTGTTTCCTCTGTGATAACCTGGGATGTCCTCCCCCCCCACAGACCATGCATCAGAGGGTGGTGTTGTTCGTTCTAATGGCGGCGGGCCTCCTCTGCCTCGCCATGGCAACCGTCCGGGCCGAGGCGCCAGAGGAGGAGGGGCTGGGGGACGAGCTGGACGTGGAGGACGAGCTGGATCTGGGTCTGGCCGGAGCCGAGGACGAAGATGAGGAAGACCTGGAGCCAGAGGAGGCTCCTTCTGCCCCTAAAGCCCCCGCCGTGCCAAAGGTCAGAGGTCGCCCCGGTAACCAGGACCTGCCGGTCTGCTGACCCCAGATCAGAACTCTCCTTGAATGGCAGATATTCAGGTTTAAAGTCAGGTTCACTCAGAGGAAATCTGAGTTTTAGGTGTAGGAAAGTATTAATATCAAAATGTCCCAAAATATGAATATTTTATTAATATTGAAATTGTAATATTTAAATTATTAGAATAGAAAATAGTCTTCTTTTTTTAGTTTTAAATGTTTTATCTAATCTATTTGAATTTTTTCTAGAAAATGATTAAAATATGTAGACAAATAGAAAATATTTGAATAATAAATATTTTAATGATATTTAATATGAATATTTTATTTATATTTTAATGCATTAACAACTACAAAGCTCTAGCTTATTTAATGGCATTCAGGTTTAAATTCAGGTTAATTCAGAATTTTAGATGCCGGTAAATATGAATATTTTAACATTAACATTTTAATATTAAAATGTAGGAAAATATTAATATTCCTTTATATTAATATGAATGGAAAATATACTTTTTTTAAGTTTTAAATGTTTTATCAAAAAATCTGTTAAAATGTTTCCACAAAACAAGTTTAAATCAGTAGACAAATAGAAAACAGTTAATATCTTTAATAAATGAGTGTTGAATATTAAATAGAGTGGAGGATATTCACCTGTTCCTGCTCCTGGTCCAGGTGACCTACAAAGCTCCAGAGCCGATGGGGGAACACTTCTTCGCGGAGTCCTTTGACCGGGGGACCCTTGATGGGTGAGCACAGCCTCCACTTCCTGTTACATTACTTCTCTGGAACCTTTTTGTGGCCTGAAAATGTCTCTAAAATGTGGAAATTGGGTTTAAAATAGACAGTTTGAGCCCTGAAAGCATCAATCCTCCACAAATTGAATGAAATTTAATTAAATCCAGTTTCCGACTTAAAGTCTCTGGTTTGTTGCTCTGACCCTGCTGGGGAGCCGGGACGGGACTAATTCCTGTTATTAATTCAGTTCTCCGGCTTTAGTTTATTATCCATTATTAAATAATATGAATTATTATTCCTATTATTTATTATTATTCTATTATTCTATTCTCTGTGCTGCTTCCAGGTGGGTTCTGTCCAAGGCCAAGAAGGACGACGCCGACGAGGAGATCGCCAAGTACGACGGTAGGTCTTAATGCTTCGTCTTATTTTTGTATATATTTACATATTTAGTTCATTTCTTCTTTATTTGTGTCTATATTTACCCCACTTTTCTTAATTTTTTTAATATATTTACGTATTTAGTCAATTTTGTCTTGGATGTATTAATGTATTTAGTCAAATTTTCTTTATTTTTCTGTATATTTACATATTTACCCGGCTTGATTTTCTTTATTTTTGTATATATCTATGTAGTTAGTGAATTGATTTTCTTATTTTTGTATATATTTACGCATTTAGTTAATTTTTTTTCTTTTTGTGCATATTTACATATTAACCCCGCTTGTTTTTCTTTAGTGTATATTCACACATTTAGTTCATTTTATTTATTTTTGTGCGACCCCATCAGGGAATAAGCGGTATTGATAATGGATGGATGGATGGATGGATGTATATTTATGTATTAAATTCTTTATTTTTGTGCACATTTACATATTTACCCTGCTTGTTTTACTTTATTTTTGTATGTATTTACGTATTTAGTCTTTTTTTTTCTTTATTTTTAGACATATTTACACATGTACCCCTCTTGTATTTCTAATAATTTCTAACCTCTGTTCCATCCTTCTCTCCGGTGACGATGACGAGCAGGCCAATGGGCCGTGGAGGAGATGAAGGACAGTAAGCTTCCTGGGGACAAAGGCCTGGTCCTGAAATCCCGGGCCAAACACCACGCCATCTCAGCCCAGCTGCTGCGCCCCTTCACCTTCGACACCATGCCGCTCATCGTCCAGTAAGAGGCTCCGGCCATCTGCCTTTTTTGGAGGGGCTTTCTGGGGCGGGGGGGCTGACGGTTTCTTCTCTGTGCTCAGGTACGAGGTGAACTTCCAGACCGGGATCGACTGTGGAGGCGCCTACGTGAAGCTGCTGACCCAGACTCCCGATCTGGACCTGGTAAAGACGCTTTTAGCCCGTTTCAGACGGGAAAATTAACCCAGTTTATACGTTTCAGGACAGTTCATTTAGATTCACATTACCGTATTATCCAGATATGAGGCGCACCGCATTATAAGAAGCTGATTATTAAACATTGTTGTTAAAAGATAAAAAATAGCTTCTTATAATGAGGTGAGCCTCATATATGGATAATACGGTACTTGCTAACGTTTGATTAAATGCGCTTTAAGCCCGTTTCAGACGGGAAAATTAACCCAGTTTATGTTTCAGGACAGTTCACTTAGGTTCATATTACCGTATTATCCAGATATGAGGCGCACTGCATTATAAGAAGCTGATTTTTATCTTTTAACAACAATGTTTAATAGGTAGTGCCCAATTCAGGAAAAAACTAAAAAAAGAGTAGTTACAGTAAATCAAACGTTAGCATACCAATATATAGCAACTACCTTATTATCCATATATGAGGCGCACCTGATTATCAACCACATTATGAGAAGCTTTTATTGTTTTTCTCCAGCTAATCTTTATCTTTTAACCACAATATTTGATAGGTAGTGCAACATTTTTATCAATTTAACTCAATCATAATGTATAGCAGTTACCATATTTCTTCTATATGAGGCGCACCGCATTATAAGAAACTTTTATTGTTTTTCCCCAGCTAATGTTTATCTTTTAACAACAATGTTTGTTAGGTAGTGAAACATTTTTATCATGTAGTGGAGGATAACTTAAAAATCATCTTTTTAGGTCTTTACATGAAGAAAAATAATTGAAAATCAGCTTTTTGGGTCTTAAGATGAAGGAAAATTATTGAAAAATCAGCTTTTTAGGTCTTTTAGATGAAGGAAAATAATTTCGACCCTCAGTTTAAGGCCAGGTAGTTTGCTTTTTAACCTAAAATAAAACAGAAAATAACAGGAAGTGTTTCGTGTGTGTGTGTTCAGGATCAGTTTGTGGACAAAACTCCCTACACCATCATGTTTGGACCAGACAAATGCGGCGAGGACTACAAGCTGCACTTCATCTTCAGGCACAAGAACCCCAAAACCGGAGAGTGGGAGGAGAAGCACGCCAAGAAGCCCGACGCCGACCTGCGCACCTACTACACCGACAAGAAAACGCACCTATACACGCTGGGTACGACTGCTAGCATGTAGCATATGGCTGAGATCAGTGGAGCTGGATGTTAGAGCCTTAATGTTAAAGCCTCTGTTAGAATGTAGCATCAGGCTGAGATCAGAGTGGAGCTGGATGTTAGAGCTTTAATGCTAAAGCCTCTGCTAGCATGTAGCATCAGGCGGAGATCAGAGTGGAGCTGGATGTTAGAGCTTTAATGCTAAAGCCTCTGTTAGCATGTAGCATCAGGCTGAGCTCATAGTGGAGCTGGATGTTAGAGCTTTAATGCTAAAGCCTCTGTTAGCATTTAACATCAGGCTGAGCTGGATGCTAAAGCCTCTGCTAGCATGTAGCATCAGGCTGAAATCAGAGGAGCTGGATGCTAAAGCCTCTGTTAGCATGTAGCATCGGGTTGAGCTCAGAGTCGAGCCTGAATGCTAAACCCTCTGCTAGCATGTAACATCAGGCTGAGCTCAGTGGAGCCAGATGCTAAACCCTCTGCTAGCATGTAGCATCAAGCTGAGCTCAGAGTGGAGCTGGATGCTAAAGCCTCTGCTAGCATGTAGCATCAGGCTGAGTTCAGTGGAGCTGGATGTTAGAGCCTCTGTTAGCATGTAACATAATTTTGAGTTCAGTGGTGTAGGATGTTAAATCTTCTGCTAGCTTGTAGCATTAGGCTGAGCTCAGAGTGGGTCTGGAAGCTAGTGGGGGGGGCCTAAAGCTAACCCATCTGCCCCCCCCCCCCCCCACAGTGGTGAACTCGGACAACACCTTCGAGGTGCTGGTGGACCAGACCCTGGTGAACAGCGGCAGCCTGCTGACCGACATGACCCCCCCCGTGAACCCCCCCGCCGAGATCGAAGACCCCGACGACCAGAAGCCAGACGACTGGGACGAGAGGCCCAAGATCCAGGACCCCGACGCCGTCAAGCCCGAGGACTGGTCAGATCCACATCTACTCCCTTTACAATCCAGATTAAATCTGGATTTAATTAGTCATGTGACTGAATCTGGATTAAACTGGATCTAGATATATTTGAACAACTCATCAGGACCAAACCTAATTTTAAGTGGATGTGAAGAGTGGTTTAGATCCGGATTAAATTGGTCATGTGACTAAACCTGGATTAAATGAGTCATGTGACTAAACCTGAATTAAATTAGTCATGTGACTAAACCTGGATTAAATAAACCATGTGTCTAAATCTGGACAAAATTAATCATGTGTCTTAATCTAGATTAAATTAGTCATGTGACTAAATCTGGATTAAAGCAGACTTGTAAAAGTGAGTTCAACTAAATCTGGATCAAATCTCATTTAAAGATGACTGAATCTGGATTAAACTAGTTAAAATATATTTGAATAAATCATTTGGATTAAACCTAATTTAAATGGATTTATACGAGTCATTTGACTAAATTTGGATTAAACCACATTTTTAAGTGTATGTGAACACGTCAGATGACTGGATCTGGATTAAACTAGATTTAGATTTATTTGAACAAGTCATCTGGATTAAACCTAATTTAAATGGATTGAACGAGTCAATTGACTGAATCTGGATTAAACTAGACAAAGCCAAACTGGATTGGGAGCCCGTATTGATCAGATGTGTATTGATCAGGGATGAGGACGCGCCGGCTCAGATTCCAGATGAAGTCGCTGTGAAACCCGACGGTTGGCTGGACGACGAGCCCGAGTACATCGGAGACCCAGAGGCCGGGAAACCCGGGGGGGGGGGGGGGGGGGGGGAGGGGGGGGTCAGGGGTCAGGCAGGGAATCGATCAGAAATCAGTCTGATCCTGGCTGATGGCGTACCCAGAAACAGGTCAGGGCTGGGATGGGTGATGCTAGCACAGGAATACAGAAATGCCAGGTTTGATAGCATAACCATAGTGATAGCATTGACATAATGATGACATTAGTATAGTGATGGCATTGATGAAATTAGCATAGTGATAGCATTAATGGCACTGGAATAGTGACAATATTAGCATAATAATATTGGCATAGTGATAACATTGGCATAGTGATAGCATTGGCATAATGATAACGTTAGCATATTAACATGGTGATAGCATTGATGTCACTGGCATAGTGATAACATTAGCATAATAATATTGGCATAGTGATAACATTAGTATAGTGATAGCATTGATAACATTAGAGTAGTCGTAGGATTGATGGCATTGGCATAATGATAGCATTGTTAACATTAGCATAGTGATAAAATTAGCTTCATGATAACATTGTTAACATTAACATAGTGATAACTTGTATAGTGATAGCATTAGCATAATGATAGCATTGGTGTAGTGATAACATTAGCTTAATGATAACATTGTTAGCATTAACATAGT